CCTGATCATTTCACATTGTGATTCGAATTTAACAAAAGAGGCTGGCATCATAGTGTATACGAGTAAATGCATGTTTAGTTCGACGAGCAAACAATTTACGAGCTTTAAAAGAGTAACTAATAGAGTATGCACAAAAAGGAGGGAGAAAAACAAAAAAAAGGAGTAAATGCTTGGCACATGAAAACTCACCTTTTTCTAAATGACTTTGGTTGCATCATATGGCATCTTCTAACATCTCCAAAATCCATACACAACTATCTTTTCCACTTTTAGGTGAGGTAGCCATCAGGGTGGAAAAGCAAAGACTTTATGAATCTTTAAACAAAATAACATAAAAAGGATAGAGATAAGATAAAATTTTGAGTAAAAGAATCTATGATCCATATGGTTAAAAGGAGAACATTATATCTATAAGCTTATGAATTCAAATCTCATATTTATAAAATTTACTATCCAGCATTAAAAATTAGAGATGAAACTACAAAGGATTGAGGATGAAGAATTGCATTTTCTAAAGTTTAAGAGATGCTTTTAAGGCCGACAGGCAGGCTGGAAAGCGGACTAAATTGGTTGAAAGTAAAGCTTATGACCGTTGTTCGATATTATCACCAAAGCATAACCCGCGGTCTCAATGCTATATGCGAACGCACCTCCTCCTAGACATCACTCACACTTGAAAGCATACTTTGGATATATTAAATCCACTTAATTTAAATTTATCAAACCCTCTGCGATGGAGATGAAGCACACAAGCAACGACCGAGTGAATTCTTTAAATCCGCCCTACAATCGGATTCAATAAACCAGATTTACGTCGTCAAAGAGATGAAAAGCGAGAAATAGATCAAATGTGAGAAATTTTGATTTAATTTTGATTTTGATAATATTTAACTGAATTTATTTTAAATTCATGCCAAATCCTGTTGAAAATGTGGTAGCAAATACTTTTGACAAGGAAAAGGACACAAAATTCAACTGAGTTTGGCAAAAATTCTCTGTCGCTACAGCTTCTATGTTTGAAATTCCTACGCCCAGCTTCCTAATTCCAACAAAGAACGAGGTAGTCTTCGCTGACCATTTTGTACGGCAAGCTATAGATTGTCTCCACCGACAGAATTGCACGCTCAATTCCTACCAACTTTTCTGACTAATACACACGTGTAGATGACTCAGAAAGAAGAGAATTAAATGCGACACTCCGGACCAGTAAAATCAACAAGGATTTGTCAGAGGACGATGTAATTTTATCTTTATGTACACTAACAATAATTTAATCTTCTATTATTATTATTATTTCTATTTACGTATAAATAAGATTATCATGTTAGAATCAATTTTATATAAGGGAATATTATTAAGTTGTCTTAAGGTTAGGATTTGAGAATGAATTCATAACTCTCGAATAATAAAACTTTGAAGAAATTGCTTAGCTCTCGAATTATAAGTGTTTATATTTATCTATTCTTTTTGTACTGCTTTAATTTGAGGTTGAAGAAAAACATGTTTGCCCTAATTTCTATGGAAAAATGTGTCAAATTTGATGTTGGATCGAGAACTGGAGTTTCCTGAGAGGAGCAATCGCAACAAGTGTCACAACATATGAAGCGCTCGATCTTTGGATGAAAAGAGCAGAATCACGACATGTCATACAACCACAAGTTAAGCTCGCAAGAAGGCAATGATGGGAATGTGTTCGGCACCTGTGAAGACAAGTGGGATTCATACCCCTCGGAAAGTGAATGTCGGGATTTAGGACATTGGGAGAGATCACCTGTGAATACTGGCGAGATTCTAGAAATCGATGGGATCAGTGTATCAAGGACAGGATCACCTGTCTTGAGTACAGTCACGATCAGAGCTTGCTGGGAAGGTGACAACATGATCATAATCCCGATTGGTGTTAGCTACATGTCACCTTCGTTATAGAACATTGCACATAATCACAATAAAAATAAATTTTAATATGAACGTCGTGTTTATTTTAGCCTTTCAATTTTAGAAGAGTCGACTTCAAAGCAAATCAACAATTTAATTGTCATCAAGGTGAGTGCTAATATTTTTTTGTTACAGTAATATTATACTTCCTCTTGATTAAATGCATTTACTATTATAGCACGCATATCTATGATTTATGGTTATATTAAATTTTATTCATATTATAAGAAAGACATGTGTGCCAGTTTTATTTATCTTATCTTGGATATTGAATCTTGTACAATAACATTGACTGATATCGAAATGAGAATGAAATACTCATTATTGGAAAGTGATATTTTTAATATTATGAGTATATGTGCACGTTTAGCCATGATGAAGTCACTGTTTTATGGTACTAACAGATAAACGCTTATATACATCTGCACTTAAATGAAAAAGAATAGTGATATTGAAGTACCGTAAGTGATACAATTGATTTATTAAAAAGTTTAACTGACATGTATTTTGCTTTCTTTTCTTTGTATTACTCTAAAAAAAATTACAATTAAAAATATGATAATATTAATGTCACCTAATTTGAATTTCTTGACAGCTGACACTGCCTCCAACATACAAAAAAGTTTATTACTTTAAGCAGATTGGAGGGATAAAGAAAGGAAAAACAAGTCTTCTTTGGGGGTTTGGTTATTACCTCAAATTCTCAGTTCATCAATCCTCTGAAGCATCAATAGTTCATTTAATTGGATCCCAACCTAAGCCCGTGGATCCCCATTTTAGTTCTTTCCATAACTTTCAATCATTTTTCAACTAATCTCACTTATTCTTAAATTGTAACCTACCATAAGCAACACCCAACCCCCATCACATCCACCACCCATCCTCAACACAACCACCACAAAATTAATGTGCATGAAAAATTTACCACTACATAACAAATGTGCAATCAATATATAACACCATAAAACTAATGTGCTTATAACCCCAGAGAGAGAGGGAATGAGATGGGGAGTGTTGCATGGGAATTACAAAAAATCGCATCCCATATTTTTCATTTGGGGCAAATACATACAGGTCACCCGAAACATTGTTATCTACAACTGAAGCATCCTATTTCATCCAATTTTCAAATTCTCATACTCAGCAAAACAAGCACAACCTATTCATGTGTTTCATAGCAATTGCCAAAAACTACATCCCATATTGAAATGTATTCCCGTAAATTTATCTATGTAATTTTTATTTACATAGGTGAGCAGCTAGAGAACAATGTTGTGTACAAATCTGTCACCATAGTTCATTTATTTTTCAAGCAGGGGACCCGAGAAAGCCACAAATTGCAAATCAGAGAAAACTATGAACCAAAGAACCATAGGAGAGCATAACAAAAAAATAAATTGCATACAAAAATCTCTAACCAACAAATTGCAAATTAGAGAGCCTAAAAATCGCATAAAACAAGTCAATCCATCGACAGTTACAATAGGTACTTACAAAGCACAATAACGAGGGATTGGAGGGAGGCGGAAGAGTAGTATGACAACGCCAAGAGAGACGGGCGAGGGGAGAGAAACATGTGAGAGAGAGAGATGGTCGAAAGAGACGGGCGAGAAGAGAAGAGAGAGATTGAGTTAGGGCAAACGAGATGCGAGAGAAGCGGTCGAGTGCAGCGATGTCAAAACAGATAATTGAAATGCGGGCCACGGGGCCCGCAGGGTTAAACTCATGGCCGCGTTTAAAAAAAAATACAGCTTATTACAACAATCCGCCTCAACACATTTTCCAAATGCTACGAGAGGCATTTTCAAAATGCACTGTACTTATTAAGCTGCCCCAAACAGGCCCTAAAGCTTTCTATATTACAAATCTAAGCCTAAAATATTATTAGATGTTTGCATTAATATCTGAAATAACTACAAGAGAAATCCCCCAAAGATTTTGTTTTAAATGGTGGGACAAACTTGTTGCCTTAATAGAAATTCTACCAATACAAATAAAATCAATTTACTCGAGTAAATTTAATCTTCCACCCATATTGCAAGCATCAGTCTAAAAAATCTCACTAAACTACGATCAAAATGTACTCAATTTACTTTTGAGTAAATTTAATCTTCCACCCATATTGCAAGCAACGGTCTAAAAAATCTCATTAAATTACAATCAAAATTCTACTTCTTCTGCGAAGCTCAAAGTCCATGAATTTAGTCATGAAATTTATTAACCATTTGAGATTTCCTAAATTGTAAATATGTGTTTAGAAACTTTTTCATTAAATGGTGGTCAGCAATCGAGATCATTGATAAATCTAAATACATCAAAAAAGCAATCCGTGCTAATAAAGCACTTAAAAACTCTAAAGGAGGAATTTTTACTTAAATCAATGCATATTTGTTTAAAGAGAATTCTCTCCAGAAAATTCACGATAAAATTAAGAGAAGAATCATACAAGCACATCAGAAGCAGCTTGAATAACTCTTTTTCAAAAATGATGACAAGGTGTCGAAATCAATTGAAAATGTTATACATTCTAGTGTATGGAATTTTATGTTATACATTCTAGTGTATGTGTTTCGATTAGTTCGATTTTCTTCTAATCAAATCAGATTTGGCTTCAAACCACAACCAATCCAGCATAGGATAATTGGATGAAGCAGCTAGAGCAGGTAGTTGATCAGGTCTAACCCTTATCCAACCGCATCAGCATAAAGAGGAAAAACAAACGAAACAAAAAGATTCAGCAGCAAATCAATCAGGCTCGGACACTCTAGCTTTAAGTTCATGTTCCTCCAAAAGATCATCTTATAGCTTGTATCTAAGCCGGCCAAGGTTGACAAAGAGGAATATATCAATCCTGAGTGCTTATCGCTACACTTTTTCAAACCTTATTTTGAAGAGCCAATTAAAAATTCAGTGTACCATCATCTTTCATAAGCCCATTTTCCTCAAACAGCTCCAGAACGCCAAATAAAAGAAAAAAAAACATTTCTATGACATCCATACACTTCTACATCACGCATGAATCGAAACTTTAATAAGCATCACATCTGTTTCAAGATCAGCAATTGTTAATCTAAAAAAAGGCTTTGTTTTCAGATCAGATTTCTTTGTTGCACTCAGAATAGTTTTAGCAATCTAAGCTCATAAGAACTCGCATCATACAAAAGAGTCCAAAAATGAGGTCTTAGAACATACCATTAGGGCCACAGGATTTGACTAAGTTGAACGAGTCTATGCATAGTTTCTGCCATATTTGTATTAGTAAGTCATGCCTTCATATAACATGAATCTCAACCTAAAGTAATCTTATACTTGCAGACAAACAATGGTACAGGCATTTATCCAGTTGTCCACTTGTTGCATGGAATATTAGCACCACCAAGCATCACTTTTCTTCTCATCTAAGTTCAGGCCGGATACTGAAGGCTTCTATCGCCATAATTCTGCAATAAAATTTCATACAAATCAAGGGTAGCCTGCTCTATTTAAAACATTTATATCAAATCCTAAATATTTAAACCTGGCCTTGAAAACTCTTTTAAGTCATTCCTTCCTATTGAGTGTTTCGAAACATCTAATCAAATTAGTTCTGGCCTCCTATTTTCCTGTTTATTTCATCTATATTGTTTAAATCACCCCCGCCCATCTTTACTGGTTCATATTTTCTCTATTTTGTGCAACTAAGACAACACATCAATTTACATACAAACATTATGTTCAATAAAAGAAAGACTACTCCAACACTCAAAAAATACAAACACTGCATGCTATTCTCTTTATCGCTTACATCTTGAAATTGTTATTTTCACGATGTTTAACTTGGTTTTTTTGTATTTTTTTTTTCTTTTTTTAGCTGATGGATTGGAATCATTTGAAACAAGAAGGTTTGCTTGTCAATTAATGAAATTTTCCTTATTAATCATCAGAGTGGCACTTCCTAATTTTAGCCATCAGATTTAATTTTCATATCCTATCAACACATAGTTCAACCAACTACTTTAACAAGTAGCTCATTCCTAGGGACCCTATGGAAAAGGTTAGCAAAACTCACAACACAGGCTCAGAATTCTATTATCTAATTACTCCAAACAAATTTTGTAAAGAACACTTGATATTGATCAAGCCACCAAAATAAAATTTTAAGAAAAATAGGTTGGCTTAATGGCAAGAAATTTTAAGATACCCTTTTAAACAGATTCCTATTAAATAGCTTTATTCATTAGATTATTAACGTTAATGCTCGTACATATCCAAGTGCATCGATATCTGGTGACACTGCTTTTCAATGAAATAATGAAAGTAGCACTTAAGTAAAGCTGCTGTTATAACAATCATGCGAGTAATTTCCTATTCAAAAAGCTACTAGAACAGATCTCATTCGGCGGTCTAAGAAGACAGTTAGAAAATACCAATTAGGCCGATGGTGAGGGGCTGTTGCCACAGATCATATGCTTCGACAATCCACTTAGGTCAGGTTCACTTATTGCGGGGCTGCATTTTCTTAACCGATATAGGCAGCATCATGAAATCGATCAAAATTAAGTTTCCAAGTAGAAGAAGAATGAGGTCAAGAGGTCAATCAATAATAAAGAGAAGGAAATCACGAGAACATACCCGTCGCTTTCAAAACCTTTCTGGACATTAGGAGACCTGCCACTGCCACTTTGGGGAGATGAGCTTTGCTCAAGTTCTTTTGATGAGTGGTACCTGCACGGTATTATAGACCTCAGAGATGACTTAGATTTATGGAGTTGGGAGGTCATTGTATGGGATGGCGTAAGCAAACAAAGAAGAGGTTTATGTAACTAAGTTTCACTGAACTTATCAAATTAAAAAACTAATTTATAACAGAAGGAAAAAAAAAGTGATTTTCTTCAGCACATGCCCATCTATTTGAACATCAATCAGATCATTTTGAGAGCTGCTGCCAATTTTTTGAGAACGGCCGTCTTCATTGACCGCGGCAGAACTGCAGATGTCCAAAATGAAACATAAATCAGACAATACATATGACAGTATCCTCAATAGCTCAAGCGAACTGAAAAACAAAATTTTAAAAGTCGAAACATAAACTAATGCATGAAATGTAAATAAAAAAAGAAAAAGTAGGCCAATTTTTAAATTAGCAAAGATGTTATCAATAATATACCAAGCTGATGGAGATCGATTCTGAATATTTTGTGGTGATCTGATGCATTCACTTTTTACTGGAAAACTGTCTTCATGATTTCTTGTGGTCCTGCAACCAGGAAACATCAATGAGACTGATTACTCTAATGCTATTACAAACACCAGAAATTTATAGGTGTGAACTCTGTAGAGCGAACAACCAATTATGAGTTTATATAGAGCTGTTTACAATCCCTTGATTAGTTGTCTCCACCAATACATATGGTCTTATCTGAACCTAATAATTTCACCAAAACACAGCATCTCTACATATCTAAAATCCAGTGCACTACACGGAGTGGAATTTACTCTGAAAAGAATGCAGGAACAAAATGCTGGCGCGATGGCAGTGGACTGTGCCCTTGCGGATTGTTTGGGTGGTGGCTCATGAAACAAGAAGAAATATGGAGTTGCTATTAACAGCAAGAAAGATGATGCAGTGGTTCACCGAAGCAAGGAAGGCTCCAAGAGGGAATGTAAAACTGTTCTTCTGGATTACATGGAGGTGGAAATGAATTCGGAACTTTCGGGATTCCTTTTAATGATGGAGGTGCTGATGATGGTTCGCTTCTACAATACGCCCGGTCACCTATCAAGAACCATGAAAGAGGCAAGGTCAAAGAAAATCCCATGAATGACCATCCGCATAGATCAACAATTCGGGTTTCAAATGCTGATAATGATCCAGGTGAAGAAGTTAATGCCAATGATAGGACATTAGCTGCGAAACCTTCAATGCCACACCTGATTTGGTGTGTGGGTCGGGTAATCAGATGGATGATTATGATTGTTCTGAAATGAGGGGTGAGGAGATGGCTCTGGACCATGACTTAAATGTTGTAGGTGTGTATGGTTTTAATTCGAATTCACCTAATCCTGCCAGTGATCAAAATTGTAAACCACAGGTTTGTGGTAGTGCCTCAAAAGACCCAACTCTCACAGCTCGGTTTCTTGGCTAACCTTCAAGCATCTCAAGGATCTAAGCAGATCAAGGATTCAATAAGAAATGGAGTGAACATTAGCTCAGATAGCACTACTCCGCTTCAAACGAAACAACAACAAACGTTTAACCAAACGTGGAAACCACCACTGGGTGTGGGCAATGCCAATATGGGCGGAACGAAGCCAAATCCATGGCATAAACCAACACATATCCAATCAAACTTCATTGAAGAAAGCGGCACCGTTAAACTAAATCATTAATGCATTAAACCGAACATAACCAAACTCGAGAAAGCTTTGGTGGGGAAGCTATTGGGGAGGCATATCCCATTTCTTGTGCTTCAAAATAAGTTGAAGCATAAATGGGCTCATTTTGGCTTATTTAAGATTGCCACTGTAAGCAATGATTGTTTTACTTGCATATTTGATTTGGCGGAATCCAGAAATGCAGTGCTTATAGGAGGACCGAGGTTCGTCGTTCGACAAATCATCAACCTTGATGTTTGGAGAAGTTTTTCTCTAGATTTGCTTGAAGGTTTCTCTGCACCTATTTGGATTACGATGCCGCAACCCCCCTCCTATATTGGGACAACACCAATCTCCATTGTATTGCTTCCACTGTGGGGCCCTCATTATGGCTCGATGCTCAAATACACTATTGGGGGAGGAATGCTTATGGCCGAGTGTGTGCCAGAGTGGACCTTTCTAAAAAGCTTAAAGCAGGTACTTGGGTGGAGGGTGCTAACGGGAACTTCTTCCCGAGATTTTGAGTATGAATGCATATGCCACCTGTGTTTCACTTGTTGGAGAATCTACCATAAGATGCACCAATGCAAAGAGAGTTCTACTTCTACTGCTCCTACGACTCAATATGTCCCCCTATGTAACTCACAATACACTATGCCAGATGGCAATTTACATCCCCCTTTGGTTAAACATGGGAACTCTTTAAATCAAGGAGATGGTCAGCACGTTGACAAGGTTGATCATCCCCACGACAAGATCGGGTTGTCCCTAGAGAGCAGGTTTCTAGCCGCATGCCATATAGGAACCACCAGAATATGAACAACATCATGCATGACATGAAAAAGGACAATCTGCCCTCTCATATTGGGACCACTAGAAGCAATAATCTAGAAGGAAGCACAACTGATTATCTGGAGTCGTGGATCCTTGTGACTAGAAGGAAAAATAAGCAGCTTTCAGGTAACACCAAAAAAAGCATAGAATAGTCAACAAAACAAGCCTTCGCAGAAGCTTACCACCGAGAATTCCAATAAAATGGATCAACATTCATCAGGTAACGTTTCTAATGTTTTATCATCAACCAACATACACAATAGTACCGCTGACTGATCCTCCCAATGCTCCCCCAAAGATGTCCTCTCTGGAAGTTGATCAATGTCCTCCTCCTACATCCCACGACTTCTCCATTGAAAAGTTGGGTGCAATGTTAAAGAGGGAGACCACAAAACTCCAGAAAAATAAGCATCGCAACAATTTGGAAAGGGTGTCCAAAGCACACTTTAACAAGGAACACCAACATTCGGGGCCGATGGAACACATTCCACGGAAGAGAAGAATCAATCCACCAAAAATTTCGATCGGCGGGGTCGCGTTCCCTTTGGTTGAATAATGTCTTTGATTCTTTTTTGGAATTGTTGGAGAGCTCGGAAAAAGGCAACGGGGCATTACTTAAAGCAGCTTATTAGCGAGCAAGACCTTCTCCTTGTGGCTCTTGTGGAGACTAGAGTGGAGCAGTTCAGTCGTAGGGAGATTGGCATCGTGACTGGTCAGAATTGGGACTTCATTGTCGAGCCATCGATCAAAAAATCTGGTGGCACTGCAGTCTTATGGCGGTTGGACTTAATTTCTTTTTGTACTATGTCATTGCATACTTAGGTTATCATTGGGCTGTGAATTTGCCGAATAACACCACTTGGAGAATTGGCACTTTATATGCCACTAAGGACTGCTTAGTCCATCATGCTGATTGGGAATGCATTCTTGAGCACAATGAGCTTGATATACCTCTCTTGATAGGTGGAGATTTTAATTGTATCGTTTCCTAAAATGGTAAAAAGGGCAGCAAGGCTTTTTAGCTAGGCGTTGGGGTCCAAGAGATTATGAATTCTATGAGGGATTCGAACTTGCGTGATTTGGGTTTCAGTGGCCCGAGATAGAGCGAGTTGTATTTGGGTTGGGCACGACAGAATTTTGGCAAACTCTGCAGCTTTCCAACTTATTCCCACCGCTATGACGCAACTTCTTCATGTGGCTTCTGACCATTGTCCCATCACTATGAGTATTGCTCCTCTTTTCCATTAGGCTAGGCTTCTCAGATTTGAAGATATGTACCTTCTTACCACATGGCTTGGCATATTGTCTGTCGTGCATGGGGCAACGAAACTTGGGTTTGGGAGCTGATATACTTCAAAGAAAATGCAATTGTAATCTTAGGGCCCTTTTTTTCTAGAGCAAACACAAAATGAAGGAGCTCGGGAATCTCAAAGCTTCTCTCGAAATGGAGATTATGGAACTCCAATTGGAGGAATGTTCACCCAAAGGTTTATCCAAGGAACTGGAAGGAAGTCTCAAAGCTAAATGCCATTAGCTTAATGTGACACTTGCATTTATTTCTTCTTGGTGGAGGAAAAAGACCAAATTTAGAGGGCTGCAATATGGAGATGCTAACTCCAACTTCTTCCACAAGGTGGCTTCGATAAGGTATAAATATAACTGAATTAATCTTATTAAACTTTCTGCTGGCAGCTTGACCAAAGACTGGGAGAAAATTCAAGCAGCTTTCATGGACTTTTTCACCACCAAGTGGACATGGTTCCCAAATTAGTACAGAGAAATGACCTGATTTAGCCGGATCGAGCAACAATTTTTCCAATTTCAGTAATCAATTGGTCACGGAGGTGTCGGATTCAAAGATTTGGCAAGCTATTACGCAAATGACTCCTAACAAAGCACCCAGGTTTGATGGCATCGCCCCTTCTTTCTACAAGAAGTTTTGGGGGATTATTTCCATAGAGGTTATGCAAGTTGTTCATGACTTCGTCTCCACCAGCCACATGCCCTATCAATGGAAACATTCCCTCATTCTGCTTATTCCCAAATTTGAGAATGCTAATATTCCGAAGCTTTTTCATTCTATTAGTTTGTGCCAAACTATTTATAAAGTGGTTGCCAAGATTTTGGTCAATCGTCCCAAGGGTGCGCTCCCGCTTATTATTTCTCCAAAACAAGGTGCCTTTGTTCTGAATCATTCCATTTCGGATCATCATCTTCTGTCTCAAGAGATGCTTAACAAGCTCAAACATTCCACTGCTAAGTCGGGTCTTATGACTATCAAGATTGATAAGGAACAGAAGTATGATAAATGAGCTTACAAATGCTCGAGGAGGTGTTTTTTAGATAGGGCTGCCCGGAGATCTTTGTTAAATGGGTGCTAAGCTGTGTTGAGCATCCTTGGTTTACAATTTTGATTAATGGCCAACAGTCCCCACATATCATGGCCAGTTGTGGGTCTGCAATCACCTTATCATTTTATTATTTGCTCTAAAGTGCTCTCCCTTGCTTTGGCTCAACGAGCATACCATGTTGAAGTGACGCTAGCCAACAACTCCACCCGTATCTCACATTTGCTTTACACATGATATTATTCTCTTTTCAGTGGTATCTACAAGAGTTGCTAAACTCTTTTCCAATATTCTTATTGATTATTGTGATTGAACAGGACAAAGGATTAATAGCATGAAGTCTGCTATTCTCTTTAGCAGAGCTACTATTCCTTAGAAAAGGCAAAAGATTACTAAAATTGTCAGTTTTAAGAGGGTCGAGGAGCTGGAATATCTCTGTGTTCGAATGGCTTTGCATCAACTTCACAAGGACTTTGACAAATTCTTGCATAAAGCTAATTCCAAACTCAATGCTTGGGGAACAAAACACCTCTCTCTGGCGAGTCGGGCAGCCCTTATAAATTTCTCTTTGCTTCCTTTGGAAATGTATATAATTTTACACACAATGGTTCCCGTAAGTGTGCTGCAGGAGTTCCAATGTAACTGCAAAAAATTTCTTTGGAAAAGCTTTGCACTTTGTTGCTTGGGAGAAGTTGGGCCA